GGTGGGTGGGTGTGCTTGCATGTTAGCACAAAGCATGGCAGCTGCAGGGAATGCTCCTTCAGTGTTCCTCTAGAGCAACAGTGCTACACCAATGAGTGGACAGTTGCTATGCAAAACAAATCAAAAACAAAGGCAAATGGCTTTGCCATGGTTATGGCTAGGGGAGAGTGTGGGCCACTGAGGGAGAGGCAGGTGACACAGGCAGAAGGAATTCATGTTGGGACTGATTCTGAGTCATGGGGACTGATGGTGAACCACTAGTGACTACTCATTTTTAAAGCTTTTTAGGGGGTGACTGCACAGATGTACACAATCTCGTTTGTGATTTTGCTTTTCCTGGGTCTTGGCACGGGCATACCGATGGCTGGCTGAAATGTGCAGCTTTGTCTGGCTAATGTCCCAGTGTCTGCTGTCATAGTGCAGTAGGCAGCATCTATGAACATTGACCAAACAAGCCTGCACATAGCTTGCTTTGCATACATTTGATGGCTGTCAGTTGAAAAACACAGTGGCAAAAAGCTCCCTCCCCCCAAATTTTTGGGTATGATCCTTTGATTTTTTACTATTGACCTGACTGTTCCCAGTCCCCACCACCTATTATTTATTTAAATTTATTTATTTATTTATTTAAAACATTTTTATGCTGCCCCCATCGCAACAAAGCCTCGGGGCAGCTCACAAACTATTACATGCTTTCCCAAGCCTCCAAGTACTCCAGAAAGGGGAGAACCACATATCACCCACTTTTTGTGAGCACTTTAACCATTGTCAAAATAAAGGTTTTTACTTTTGTTTTTTTACTTTCAAGCTATCTAACAAATTTTGTTAAGGGAATACAGGCAGATTTTAGAGCTATTAAAGGAGAAACAAAGTAAGGAGGCAGGTTCTGCTGTGGAGGACCTTTCAATACTAGCTGGAGGACTTGTAGGGAAGGATGGGGAGAACTATCTATGGTAAATCTGATCATCTATCAGGCAGACCATGAGTTGTTTCATGAGCAACCTGCTCTACTTAGCTTATTCACACAGTATGTTGATGTATCATGCGAACTTTACATAGGAATGCCAGCAAGAAAATGACTATAATGGACAAGAACTAGGACAAATAATTTCTACCCCTCCTTTTACTTTTCCACCTTGATTTCTTTCCTTACCCCAGTCTGAGTTCAGAGATACTGCTTCTGTGTATCTTTTACTTGTTGGATTATGAATCATGCGCATCAGTCAGATACATATCCAGATGTGTAGTTGAGGTGTTGATGCTTGCCAGTCTACACTGCATCGTTTCCAGTGAAATATGCACTTAGATTCACATCCAGTTTACATTCATAGACTATTATCTTTTGCAACACTACTGCTAATGTAAATGAAATTGCAATAGTGTAAGTGACTTCTAGTATAGTGCCAGTACTATTTAATGGCACAGTGGGTCTTCCAGGGAAAACTCTCATGCCAGCAAATTTTATTGGCATTATGCTAGAAGTTGCTCAGGTTAGTGTGTTAATTAGAGGAATAAGGTATAACCAAGGGAAGAGAGCTGGGCTATCTGGGGAACCTCAGAAAATCAGGTTAGGACACCTGGGAGACCTATGGTTCTATACCCCTGCTTTAAAATCCAAAAAAGTGTGTTAAAGCAAAATACATGGAATTTACGTTTTGTATTTTTAGGCATTCCAAAACGGACATGGGTCAAACAGAAACATAACATGTAGAAGTTATTAGTTCTTGAGCTTTTTAAAAATCCTAATTTAGAGATAGATTTAGCAGATAAAGCCTTAATATTTTTTCAGTCATATTTAAGTAAATTTCTTTGTAGCACTCTCCCAAACTCACAGCAGACAGGAACAAAAAAGGTCCTTTGTTATGTCTATCCTAGACAAGCTTATCCTATCTGCTGAAATTTGTGTTTCAAAATAACCTGACAGTTTATGGAAAGAGAAATTCCTGACATATAAAAGTTAAGATATTCAAAAATGTTATGCTTGTTGGTACATAAGAATGGAAAATATTTTTTCTAGCCATGTGACACCTGTAAAGCTGTCTCAGTGTTTGCTTTAATTATATCCTTTTCTTCAGCCATACCTATGTGTGAACTTGATTGCAGATGAGGCTCCATAGCTTAAATAACCCATGCGCTGTTGGGAATGAGCAGGATCTCATGTATATACTGCTTCCACTTTTATTTAGTAACCCATGATTGCTCTTTTTGTAGATTGTTAAGATGCTGCACAGCTTGCAAGTACTGGATTATTTAGTGGCTAAACTACTCAGCAGTTAACCCTACAACAAAGCATGGGTTAACTGGTGGATTATTTAGCCCAGTGCTTTCAGGTTCAGACATGCTCAACAACTTACACAACAGCCAGTTGTAGGTTGATAAGACTGTTTAGGCTAATCTCAGATAAGGATGTATATCACTGTCAGCAGTTGTGAATATATTCCGAGTATGAACAGTCAATTGTTTTCTGATACATGATTATGGCTCTTATTGCAGTGATCTGAGATTTCCAATTTGCTAGATATAAAATCTTAAATCTAGCTGAATGTAATAATTGCCTTTACTTATCTGTTGGAATACACCCAAATGCAAAGCATTTCACAGTCTTACAGATTTGTGAAGGGGGAGTAGGTACAAAAGCAAAGCAGCTATTTACTTTGCCAGGTCACTGAAGGTACCTTACAGCCATCATTTTCTTGCTTTACCTTCTAAATTTTATAAACATGTTCTTGTGTTTTGGGACACTGATCTATAAGAAGATTCTTATATATGAATATGTTTTTTTAAAAATTACTTTGGCTGTAATATTTTTGCATTAATCAATTAAAGCTTTAACTGCAATATGTAAAGCTGAAAGTTAAGGGCCCTTTAGATTTTGGTACCTTGTTTGTTATAATGTGTGAGGAAAGCAGAGAAAACTGAGGTTTGGCCTCTCATTGTGTAGTATCTTACTATTTATTACTTTTAATGTTCCTCCAGATTTTGATGCTGAACAGGAGCTAAAATCACAATGCAGTCATTACCTGTATGTTTAAATTCTAATAGAGACTTTTGTTTAATTTAAATTCTTGTGCTTCCTTTACATGTCAAAAGCAGGTCTTTATGGTATATAAACTTAAATGTAACTGGTTTAATTGCTTAAAAGGAAGATTATGGTATGGTCAGATGATAGCCTTAAATATGAACCATAGCTAATTACCTTTTAGCATACTTCTTCCTGTTTAATCTGTATTCGTATATCAACCAAATATAAACTGGAATGTGGGGTACAATATAATCCCCCCTGTTAATATGGAAGTTACAAAGTATGCAGATTAGGACAAAGCTTAAACTTGACTTATTTTCCTGGTGATGTTGACCTTAGTATTACATGATATATATAATTCTTAAATAAATTTCTGTCAAGGCATCATGATTCATTGGTGTCTTATACTTCAGTGCAACATCTCCTTTATAAACCTTGGTCCATATGTTCTTATTCATTTGGAATTTTAGTACATGTTGTTAATATTGCATTACCTGATCTAGGCTTACTTGTTTTTCCTTAGCAACACCTTGGCTGGGACTGTCATCATTGGATTGTTCTGTTTCTCCTGGTTTTTTAAATGTTTGTGCATGCATGTTGCTGTTTGAATTGATTTTCTTTTTGTTTCCTCCATCCTTTAAAAAAATGAACCCACTGATATCAATTCAACTTCTTTCTATCTAAGCCATTTTTATTCTTTTTTATATGGCTACCAGCATGGTTTTTGTAGTTGCTAGAATACACAGGGTTAAACCATCTAGTGCAAAAAACATTTGAAGTTATACAATAGCAGAAGTTTTGCCAATTGGAGTATTTCTGATGGAAGCAATCTGTTGCTTAAACACACATTCACAACAAGCATGCTTACATTCATAGGGCAGCATATTATAGTGCTGTTCTGCCTCTGAAATGGTCCACTAGTGGAAGAGGAGCTAGTAGTTCTTGAAATGACCCCAAACACACACATGTCCAGAATGGGACAGACCAGTGGAGCTTCCTTCTGTGAGTTCTGCTGAGCTGTCTTGTTCCAGAAATCAGCATTGCTTCCTATTTCCGGTTTGTTCCTGTTACACTAGTGCTCCATTTTGCAAGCACTTGGGCAGTATATGTTACTGGCCGCTGTTAGTATCTAAGTTTTTCAGTATACTATTTTAGCAGGATGTGTTTATTCATCTACCAGCCAACTAGGATCTGAAGAGCTCCTTAGCAGTGTGCCAAGGACGTGACTGGATTTTTTGGACACTCACTGTTGACTTTCCCATACCGTATCAGAACATGCATTTGAAATCCCTTTATTTTCAAAAAAGCAATTTGTAGCAGGCAGGGCTGCTGTTTGAGAGAAATCTAAAGTCTTCTTGAGCTTAAGGAACAAGTTCCACAGTTCTTTGAATCCCAGCAGCCTTTAAAGAAAGAAACAGGAACAATAAAAGTTAATTAACAACAGGCTAGTTCTGTAGTCTTTATTACAAACAAAAGGAGAAGCAAGGGAACCCACAGCCATTTCACTGTGTATTGAAATACTATTCGTTATTGCATGAACACACAAACTGTTGCTACACCTTGATTGTAACATTTAATGGAGTTGATACTCATTCTAAGTGTGTTTACAATTGGGGAATAATTGACATCGGAACCATGGAAGCATTAGTATTGCTTTCAAATGTTATTAAGCTGTACTTAATTTTGCACTGTTAAAGTCAGTCTTATCAGATGCTTACCTCCTCACTCTCCATACACACCTCTGTTTATAAGTTTATATTTTGATTAGGATAAGATGACATAATCACTTACTAAACTTACATTAATGCTGTCTAGTATGTGGTGCAGCTTAAACAATAGGAAGGAATTTAATCAGATAGTTTTGTTTCACTTGTGTTTAAAGAAGGCATTCGGTTATAACTGTCTATGATGTTATTATCTCAAAGAGCATGTAATATTCTCACTCTGTCTAATGGCTTTTGTACTTGTGTAATCTCAGAATAACGACAATGAGACGGCACTGCACTGTGCAGCTCAGTATGGCCATACAGAAGTGGTGAAGGTTCTCTTGGAGGAGTTGACTGACCCTACTATGCGCAATAACAAGTTTGAGACACCTCTTGATTTGGCTGCGCTCTACGGGAGACTGGAGGTTGTGAAGATGTTGCTGAATGCTCATCCCAATTTATTAAGCTGCAATACTAAGAAACACACACCATTACATCTTGCAGCTAGGAATGGACATAAAGCTGTTGTTCATGTTCTCTTGGAAGCTGGCATGGATAGCAATTACCAGGTTATTTATCTATCTGTGTTTCTGATCTGCCATGGAAAAAAATTCTGATTTGTTCAAGTGTCAATGTGAATTTAATGCTAAATACATGATTTGGGTATCACATATTGGCAGTGGATCATTTGGAACTGATGCCAAGTGTAATGAAATTCAGTGGAGTTCTCCTCAAGGATAAAAGTGTCTGATTTGTCAGCTGAGCCCCAGATGGTTCTAAAGAATGTTACCCTTGGGATTTGTGACACTTAAACCCATCCTGCAGTGTGGCAACTATATTTGGTGTTTGTTTCAGGTTTGGGTAGGGGACTTGGCCAAAATGCTTCATCAACCCCCTGTCTTAGTGCACTTACTTCTTCACTGCTATTTCTGCTGCCCCTATGCTTCCCTTTCCCTCTTGTCCCTATGTACAAAGCAATATTGCTCCATCTTGTTCCTTTCATTGCTTGCTTGGAGAGGCATGATAGAGAGACAGTAACAGCAATGTGAAGATGCAGGACCTATTTGACACATGAAGTTCTGTAAATGTACATCAATGACACTGACCCTGGTGATATTACTATGGATCCCATGAAAAATACTTACTTTTACAGAGGAAGAGTCCCTGAGCATACACAGAGTGGTTCATTGAACCCAAACTAGAAACTATATTCAAGAATCCTCCTTTTCATTAACCCTGGGCTCCAGCCCTCAGTGTGCCCTATTGGAGAAGGGCTAGCTTCCTAGATCCACACAAGCCTTCTAATTGGTTAATCCTTCTCTCCCAGTGCACCGTCATGGGTTCACAGACCTCATTTCCCAGAGCCTCAAGTCCTTATCCGAAGAGCCGGTGCCAGCCTGGCCCTGGAAGGTGTGTCAAGAATAACTGCCTCTTTCATTCCCAACAGTCCTCCATCTCTTCATAAATTCAAAAGTGTATCTTTCAATAAATATTTACTAGGGTGGCAGTTGTACAAGCTCTCTCACGTGAATGAATATACAAAGGAGATAATATTTAACAACTAAATAGTTCCATCTTCTTTGTATTAGTCCTTTCATTGAAAAAGTTTACAGGTGATCAGTTTGCAGGTGTTTTCCTAGTTGATGTAGTTCAGAGTAATGACTAGAAGGTACCTTAAACATTAGTTTAGCAGGCTTGGTAAAGTAGCTTGAAGGATTTCTGCTAATTTTGGATGAACTGTAACTTGTGCCTCTGTTTGTGAAAGGAGGCCTTTTTTATGTGCAAGTATTGCCTTCAGCGTTCACCGGTACCATTCTCAATTTGGCCATATGCTGTTTTTCATTTACAGACAGAAAAAGGGAGTGCTTTGCATGAGGCTGCTTTGTTTGGCAAAACAGATGTGGTGCAGATACTGCTAGCTGTAGGTGAGACTATTTCTCAACATTTGTTTCTTCTGTTGCAAACATCCAGTAATGTAAGCATTAGTCCTCAGAATGTCCAGTATAAACATTATTTGGATAGGTAGTTTTAGTCTCTCAACTCTGGAGTAAATACTTTAATAAGCTACCTCTCCCATAGTGCCACCATTTCTTTATTTAAAGCATTTGTGTACTGCTCTGTACCTAGTAAGATTGCAGAGCAGTGAACAATAAAAGGATAAAACAGATAAAAGACTGAAAACATTAAATACAGGTAGCATTAAAACCATGGCTGGTCAGTAAGGAGGGGTTTCTGGAACAAAGGTGCCTTCAGCAGGTGCCAAAACAAGACAGTATTAATGTATTCCAACTAGGGGAGATCCATAGAAATGGAAGCACCACACGGAAGGCTCTTCTCTTGTTGGGCCATTGGTGCATGTGGAACTACAGGAGAATGTCCTTTGATTATTTCATTGACCAGGCACATTGGTAAGGGAGAAAGATCTCTCTCAGGTATCCCCGTCCCAAGGTATTTAGAAATTTATACACTATTTTCAAAACTTTAAGTCTGGCTAGGTGGCAAACAGCCAGCCAGTGCAGTGCCTTCAGCAAAGGAGTTGCCTAGTAAAAAGGAGCAACTCCCAGCATAGCTGATTTGCTGCACTCTGTGCTAGCTCCAGCTTCTTGAACAGTCCTACATAGAGCACATTGTACTAATCCAATCTTGAGCTCACTAGTGCCTATATTACTGCGGCCAAGTTATCCCTACTTAGGAGAAGTTCTGCCTGGTGAATCAGTCAAAGATAGTAAAAGGCACTCTGAGCCACTGTGGCTTTTTGGGACTCCAGAGACAGTGATGGATCTAGGGGTGTCTTCACACTAGAGATTTGATCTTTGCAAATCAGACTTTTTCCCAGGCTTGGTAACTAGTCCCCCATAGTCCTTCACGCTTGCCTGGATTCAGTTTTAATCCACTCATCCAGCCACTCACTGTCCATACAATGTTCTGGACCTTGTATAGCCTCTCCTGAGGCAATAAGCACAAGAAGATAGAGGAAGTATCATCAACATACTGATGACACTTGGCTCCAAATCCCCTAATGAACATCTATATGAAGCCACTAGGAATGAACAACAGGACTGGGGACAAGATGGTACCCTGTTGACCCCCATAGTTGAATTGCCAAGGGGCCAAGGAATGGACACACAGTGTTAATAACTGAAATGGATTCCACAGGTAAGACCTGAACCACTGTAACACAATGCTTCCAGTGTGCCACCTGCAGAATTGTTTCAGGAGGATACCATGGTTAATGGTACTGAGTAGGATTCTCCTGCCATCTTTCTTCTGTTGATTACATCTACCCAGGACTTTTTTTGTCATCGAATGCACCGGAACAGTGTTCCGGCACCATTTTTTCCAATGGATTTTATGAAGTGATTTTGAATCGCCTGTCGGCGTAGCAGGTCAGCAGCAAAAATCATTAACATAGTGCCTGCAGGCTGCTTTTGCGTCCGTGCCGCCCGGCTTGGGATGCTGCTCGGCTTGGGATTGGTGTGTGTGGTTGCACACCGGTGGCGACATGAGTTTCGGCACTTTTTTTTTTTTTTTTTTACAAAAAAAGCACTGCATCTACCTATGCCAAAACCTGATGAGGCTTTCAGTATAAAAATATAACAGTGCTAATAAAAGCTAAATAGAACTTATTAGAAACTGACTTATTTAATCAGTCCAAACAGAAAGGTCTTCCTATGCTTGGAAAAAAAAATCGGACTTTGATAGTTGTCTTGAAGACATTTTTAAGCTGGTCAATGAGGACATTAGGTTTTTCCATATGTTTTCCATACCTTTGTCAATAAGGCAGATGATTGGAATAAGTAGGATGGCATTTTTAGCAGCTCCAAAAATCTTGTGATCAGTAATCTGGGTTTTCTGGGGAAAATTGAACTGGAAATTTTTCCAGTGCAGAGTAGCTTGATTTGTGCAAGATAATTTGCATAGGGAAATGTTCAGGTTTGCATCAGAAAGTGATTCCTATAGCAGAGGTAGGCAACTTGTTGCCCTTCAAATGTTTTGACCTCTGAGTTGCATTGTCCCTTACCATTGGCTTTTCTGGCTAAAGCTTATAGGAGCCATAGGCCAAACCATCTGGAAAGTTTCAGGTTGCTCACTCCTGCCCTAAGATTATCTAATTTAGCACATATATTTTATTTGTATGTGGTAAGCAAAGTTTAAAAAAGTACTCCATGTTTATTTTATGGTCCAGCATACCAAAAGTATTAACTTGAACTATTTAAGGAGAAAAAATAAAGAACATTTAGTGTAAATTAAAGTTAATATTATGTAGAAATTGAAATATGTGTAAATTAGAACACATCTAAAAAATTGTGAGCAATAGCTTATACTTCTCTTAAATTGCTTAAATTTGAAAAAGAGAAAATAAATTTCAGCAACTGTGGATTATATGTTGACAGCCACTCATTTATTTCAACATTTAGTTCTTTTCCACTGAGCTTTTTGGGGAACCTTCAGTTCTGTTGTCATTGATTTTATCTCACACTGAATTGTATATGTACCACATATCTGTTAGAGATAATTACCTGAAAAAGCTTTAACAACAACTTTGAAGCTGCCAGGCTTCCTTCATATTGTTTCTGCAATTGGCATCCATTCACTTTTATTAAGGAACCTTTTATAGAACAGCACATTCATATAGAAAGATATTCATAATTCTTTCTGTGTGTGTCTAAGGGATTGATGTGAATATAAAGGACAACAGAGGCCTGACAGCATTGGAGATTGTGAGGGAACTGCCATCTCAGAAAAGCCAACAAATAGCAGCTTTCATTGAAGGTAAATAATGAAGATGGTAAGGGGATGGTGGCCCGAATGTCTGAAGTGGAACAGTAAGAAGCTATTCAAATATTGGGTGGAAACCAAGTTATTATACACATGCGAAGGTGTGGTGACTTCATTTTAGTTAGTCAATTCAGAAAATGTTGGGTTGAGTTTTAGTGTGGGTGTAAAATAGATCAGACAGATAGCAAAGGTGTGTGTTGTACATCAATGCACTAGGTTTATGAAATGCATACAAGTTTCCTACCTTGTACTGAACTTGAATATTTATCTTCTCAATTTTCCTTACTTGTTTTTGTTGATTATGGGTCTAATATACCTTGCTTGTATTTATAAGCTCTTGTCTAGAGCTGTGATACGCAAAAGTGATATACTTTATAAGAGTAGTAAGATACAAGACAGCACTATGTCGGTAGTACCAGAGCAAGAAAAGGTGATACAGGCATTTTTAAAAAACATACTTTAGCATATATATTTTAACATTTTTGGCTAACAGTTTGCATGGTATTCAAAAGCAATTTAAAATGGTTTTCTAAGTTGTTATAATTGATTGAATAGTAGAGGAGAGGCATAACTCCATTAGGATTGCATTCCAAAATTGAGAACTCAACACAGTAAGGAACCTATCCCACTCTGTTGTAATACCATGGAAGAGGTGACTTATCATTAGCTGATGGCATCAGTGGGAAAACAACTATTTTGCAAGCTTTTATTTATTTATTTGTTTATTTAATTTTTCGATTTATATGCTGCCTTTTTCCTACAAAGGGCTCAAGGCAGCTTACATCATTCTCCTCCTCCATCTTATCCCCACAGCAACCCTGTGAGGTAGGTTGGACTAAGAGTCTGTGACTGGCCCAAAGTCACTCAGTTGGCTCCATGGCTGAGTGGGGACTAGAACCCAGGTTGCCTGAGCCCCAGTCCCATGCTCTTAACCACTACACCACACTGGCTTTACTTTTGGACATTGCCTCAATTTAATGCTGTGACTTGTGGCACCCAAGTATAATGTGCCAATATAATGCGGCAAGTTTGTGGAAGTAGATTTCCCTCTTTCCCC